AGATAAGTTTCACACTTTATAGGACAATATCTAGAACCAATAAATCATATATTCATCTGAATATGCATGTACTTGCTTTCTGACATATACATTTTTCTGTTTAACCAATAATAGATATATAAAAAACAAGCTATTTATCCATCATACTTAATTCTGTATTATATATATATATATATATATAAATTGTTCAGATTTGAATAATGATAATTGTTATGAGCTCAATAATCTTGTATTATGTACGTAACACAAACTATATTACTTTTCTCGTGATAAATATTGGTATTTCTAACCATAATGGCACTTCAAAGCAACACATTAGCTAATCTGTGAAGTCAGAGATCCCAAGATTCAGGCACAGCCATCTCTAATTTGCAGCAGATGGAGGGCAACCAATCACAGCACCTACCACCTATTATATGGCTCATCTTATCAGAATAGTGTGATAGACTGTCAAAGTTATACCACTCCCCACAGCTGAAAGTGTATTCTGTAGCATATCACAGCTTGCACCATTTAATACACAACTCAGCATAATACCCACCAGGCCAGGTGCTCAATCTATGATAAACAAAGCTTAGCAGTAGTGTTAAAGAATAAAATAGCTTCTACACATGATTTTGTACAAAGAAAAACCCCTTATTATCGGGAACATACTTTTTGGTAGTATATATTAAAGTAAGTATATGGGTGTATTTGGCTAAGGATTATTCTACAGTAGGTGTCTGTGACTTGGCGATAAATTCAACAATAAACTGACAGCACGCACTCCACTTGTTTTTAAAATAATATACATATTAGAAAAAAGCTGAACGTATATACAAAATTCTTTACACTATGGAGATCATAGTTGTATCTTAAACACTATACAGTTCTCTCCTTCTTGTCAAAAGTCTACTTAGGCAAATTCAATTGCTTTAGAATTCAGTTGACAAGCCGTACTATTTTTCTCGTTTTTATCACAATTGTATTCATATAAAATTCCCTTACGCTGTTACTTGAGTTACTGCAGTTGTATCCTGTACTACCAATAATCATCTGCTTTTTCATCAAAGTACATACAGGCGGGTTCAATTAGCTATAACACCCTTTGACAATACTAATTATTCTCCTTATCTCTTTCAAACTATTAATCTCACTCTAACATATCAACCAATATGCCTTTCACGCCTACGATGGTTAACTTTGCATTTTCTAACTTTTAACTCCCAGAACTTCTCTTTCCCTGACTTTATTATTTACTCTATCTCTTTCTGCTCGTCTGGTCACAGCTATTTATACGTCTATCTCGTAGGCCCTCTAGAAATCTTTATAGCTTCTACATAAATGAATTACAAACACAAAATATATTAATTCATAATACTACTTATACTCAACAGTCTTTTATATCTGACAATAAGCTCCTCTTCAAGAGAAATATTTACAATATTTTTTTCACTATATACAAAGACTGTTTTCAGCATATATAGTCCACACCAACATTTGCAGTTCCTTTGTCAGTTTATTCTCAGATATGGCCTCCAATAGGGTTTTACCTTGACAGGATCCCTTGTTTTCATCTTCATCTCATGTTGTCTGGGGTCTGTATTTTCTAATCTATCTATATACTGACACGGTAGATTTTGTTTCTCTTTCTTCTTTTTACCAGTCAGTTGTTCAGTTATGTTGACATCCTTGTATGTCTCATCTCCACCCAATAGTGTTAGGCCTAGTAGGTCTTTATCTTCTATAACAAAGTCATTATTTTGAGATTCTGCTTCTATGACAGCCACACCTGCCCTGTCCATCTGTACATTGATAGCTGCACCTGTAAGGTTTTCTTCTTCTCTTTCAAAGTTCTTCTTCAACAGATTGGCATGGTAGACCATGGTTGTTCGATCAACCTTCACTTTATAGTGCAATCTGCAGGGTGAGTTATTTGTTGGTTGTGAGTAGCAGAACTAAAACCCTCTGTCCAACCTTTAAACGTCAACCCTTGGTCTTCTTGTTATAGAAGTGTTTCTGACTGTCTTTGGATTTGACTTCCCCAGTAAAACTGTTGTGATAGGTCCAGTTCAACAATCCTTTCAGTCCTCTGTTTTGTAAGTCTCTTTCCTCTTTGTCTTATGCTTGACTTCTTGGGCACTGTCCCGAAGTTTCTGTGGTGAAGGGTTATTCTTCTGTACTTTCTTCATATTTTTACTACCTGGTATGTTCCCATCACCAAGTCATATGTTGGTTTCTTAATATACCTGACATCAAGGTCTCCTACATAATATGGAGTATCCACCTTTATTTTTGCTAATGGGAAACTTTCTCACTGTCCCATCAATTAGCACACACAGGCGTACCTTGCCTGTTATCTGATCATCAGATACTAGACTAGTTCTCACTGTTGCACCCAGTGTCTCGTAGATCCTTCACTTACTGGCATGTTGTGATTTGGTATCACCTCTTAATGTTTGTCACATGCTCCAAGCACTACTGGCACTATTGATCCATTTTCTAACTTGAGCCAACTATTAGTCGTGCACTGATCAATCATGGAATTAGCACTTCCCTCTTGTGGTGAATCTGATGTGTTTTCTTGATTCCGTTTCTTCTGACAGTAGCATCTATGGCGCCAGTCCCTCTTTTCTTGTTTCTTACCAGCACTATCTTCGTAAATAGCTTCAGCTGCTTGATATTGAGATTTCTGCTGGTAATGGACTTGCACTCCTTTGCAATGTGTCACATTTTATAACAAGCATAGCATTTCTTCTCCCTTCTGTTTATTAACCTACTGTCACCTTTGGTAGACTCTTGCTTCTGGCCAGCCATTACTGGTTTTGAATTTAACTGGATATTTTGGAGTTGCCAGTTATACTCTCTCCATGGACTTCCATATACTGTTCTTCCAGTTTGATCATCTCCTCTACATCTTTTGGTGCTCTCTCCTTTAGTGATATGCGACCATGAACTGTTCTCATATTAGTAGGTCTGCTAGTCCCTCAAAACTATTGTCAAATTTGGCCATGCCAGTCCATCTTGTGAAGTATCACCAAAGGTGTGCCAAAACTGAAATACAGTTTCTGTGGTGTTAGGTTTGACTTCTTTGAACTTCCAGCGAAAACCTTCTTCAGTAAGTTCATATCGTTTCAGTAAAGCCACTTTTATTTTGTCATAGTCCATGGCATCCTCTGACGTCATGCTTACATATACTTGTAGGCTTTTTTGTGGGAAGTGGACTGAGACAGACTGCCCCGTTGCCTTTGTTCCAGTTCTGACTTTGGGCAAATCTTTTATATCTCTCCAGAAAAACATCCATGTCATCTTTCTGTTTTTCAAATTTGGGCAGCTTGGGTCAGCTGACTCTGACCCCATTGTCATTCTTGGGTCCTTCTTCTTTCTTTCAGGTGAGCTTGGCGATCTAAATTTGTGCTCTTATTCTCTGTATTTCTAGTCTCTCCTCTCTTTTTTCTTCTTTCTCAATTTGTGCTCTTATTCTCTCTATTTCTAGTCTCTCCTCTCTTTTTTCTTCTTTCCCTACGTTCTTCTCTCCCTAGTTTGTGTTTAACAAACTCTCGTAGTTCACTGTCTTTTAACCCGAGAGCTCTCCTTTTTCTACCCATTTACCAAAATCACCTGACATGGTTATATAGTGTAACTGTAACCTCTACACTATTTTCGCTACTACTACAGTTGTGCGTATATAGGCCTATTATTTCTGCTGTCGTTCACGTTTTCTTCTACCGCCGTTTACCACTGTAGAATCCTGGCTGTGGCTCGCCAAATGTCAGGAACTTACTTTTTTAGTAGCATATTCAATTGCTTTAGAATTCAGTTGACAGAGTCGAACTATTTTTCTATTGTTTTTATTGCAATACTACCCGTATATAATTCCGTTACGCAGTAGCTTGAGTTACAGCAGTTGTATCCTGTACTTACAATAATCGTCTGCTTTTTCGTCAAAGTACACACAGGCGGGTTCAATTAACTCATAATACCATTTGACAAAACAAATTATTCTCCTTTTCTCTTTTAAACTATTAATCTCACTCCAACATATCAACTATTAGGCCTTTCACTCCGACCACGGTTAACTTTTCTCTTCCCGAATTTCTTTTTCCCTTGACTTTACTTTTTACTATCTCTGTTTCTGCGAACGAACTAACTAGCATGGCAGTAATTTAGGTTTTATAGGTAACAGGGGGTGCTCAGAGACTATTGTCTTTCTTCAGCTCCGCACGCGATTGTAATTCTACTGGAGAGTGATTGGTCCAAATAACTTCATGATAGGTATGATACATACCAATAATTATGCTAGCATTTGGTGTTTTTAATACATGGATAGAACCAAGTTAATTCCTAACTCGAGTGGGTAAAGTTCTATCTAGCCAAACTGCCAGTGAAAGGCTATGAAGAGTTCGACGAACCGAAGGATAAGAAGAGAGGTAGAACTTGTCTTAACAGAAGCTTGAACTCAGAGTGACGAGGCACTCCAAGTTAGTTAAACTGTTTCTGCTCGTCTGGTCACAGCTATTTATACTTCCGTCACTTAGGCCTTCTAGAAATCTCTATAGTCTCGTCATCAATGAATTACAAACACAAAATAAATAAATTAATAATACTACCTACACTAAATAGTATTTTATATCTGACACACACATATATATATATTGAGGCTTGCTCAACTCATAATCTGTGGGTCAAGTTTGCATCACTGAACATGCTTGCTCTATTAGCCATTGGGGTATTATAATGTGATGTTCCATTCCATTATTCATTGGTAAAAGAGTAGTCCAAAAGTTGGCAGTGGGTGGTGTTGACTAGCTGCTTCCTTCTAGTCTATCACTGCTAAATTAGCGACAAATAGTCCTCAAACAGCTTTTTGCAAAATTCAAAAGCAAACAATTGCTTTTAATAAGAATATGCTTTGATATAAATATATAATTTCAATCTCCCGGAGGTTGATCTTTCAAACCTTGATGATTTCTAATTGGTCATTCTACCAAAATAATGATTTATACTGTGAGACTAGGAAATATTCTGGTCATCAAACTTTTATTGTGCTGGAATCAATTATATATATATATATATATACACACATATATATACGATTTCAAGGAACAAGGTAAATCTACTTAGTTCCAAATGAGGTACACTGTACAACAGAAACTAAGAAATCAAATCAGTGTGTGACAGCTTAGGCACCCAAAGAATAAATTGTCTATTTACATATTCAAATTACACATACATTTAAATACACAAGAGCTGTAGTGAATGGATCACAAAAAGGATATATGTTCTTGAAGCAACTGGGGTCTAAAAATATGACTACTTCCCAACACTGTAGGGGTAAATGACTATATTCACCCCTGTATGTTAGTTTGTGTTTCTGCTATACCTGATAGCTTAATTCAACTCTGCACTACATAGCCAATTGCTAGGATAGCCAAAACTGCCACATTCTTTTCTGATTTTAACAAGTTATAAATCTGAGATCAAAACAAAGCATACATATTTGCTTTTTTTTTAAATACTTATAATATTAAAATCAACATGAATACCTATTATCATCCAAAACAAAAGTGTTTACACATACACACACACAAATCATTTTCACTAATCACTTGATAGTCAAAAAACAAACGGGAGTACAAGGTGTAAGGTGTTCCAAACAGCTGTTTAAAAACCAAAGAAAAAAATAATCAAAAATCATTTGACAAAAGATAAATGCAGGTTGTTGATAGCGATATTAGAGAAGGCCATAACATGTCCAGTAAAGCACAGTATATACAAGTTATGATATGGTTCAGATAAATATTGCTTAGTCAGTACTGCACCACAGTTGTGTGTTTAGTGCAGATCAATCAGAAAATAGATTTTCTATTAGAAATAAAGTCATGCTAAAACACACTGTTCAAATGAAAAAAAAAAACTACTATAAAAGACCAGTCCCATATAAAATCTAATACACTACCTTTTGAGTATGATAACCCATAATGAAAGAGAAGATTTAAGATTAGTGTATAATAATAAAGATTATTTAGGAAGCATTATTTTAGATGCATACACGTACCTGTAGAAATTTAAAAATGCCTGATAACAATGTCTTACTTGTACTAAGCCTAGTAATACAGGCAAATGAGGCCACAAAAGAAAAATACAAAGCAAGACACTGTTTTAGTAATTCCCCCAACTGGGATTAGAATTTAGACTTAAAATGTTTTTTATTGTTTCCGTTGTTTTCCGAGTCTCAAAAACTCTTAAAAAGTAAAATATATTGTTTGCCCTTGCAGTTGCTGAAAAGGATGAGATGAGTGTGACTGAAATCTTAGGAGTTCAATTTTAAATTTTAAACAGAACATTTCAGCTACTTCAGTATTTTAGTGTGTGTAAGAGGTAGGGGGGAAAGATTTCCAAAGATATACTAAAAGCTAGTATAAACTGTAAAGATACAAGGTGACACAAACTAAGCAGTTAGTTGGTTATACCAGTGCAATAGCAAATAGTCACTTTTTTTGTTACCAGCTGAAATCCTATGCTCAGTTTACACAGCACTTAACAACAAGTTATTGTAATCATTCAGTAGTCCTCTTGACATTCCAGAAATGTATGTTTATAGGTTGATTATTTCATACTCAGTTAAACAAAAAAATAACAAAATATCAGATATATTCCCATCTCAATTAAAAGTATTGATTCAAAAGAAACATACTTCTTAAAATTATGTAGCAATATCCAAATTTCTGGCTCTTCTTTAAATTAGTCACACCCAGTTAGACAACAATGATTAAGAGATAAAAATTGGATATGAACCTCTCCATCGATAAATCGCAGACTTAAATAATAGTAAATATAATACGTGAATTATTTCTTTCTTTTACCAAGTACATCAAGAATGTTTGACACAACATGATATATTAGACTCTTGTTTGAAGAATCCTCTCTTGCTGCATTGGAAAAAAAACAACAACACTATAAATGACTCAACATCTGCTCACAACACAAATGTATCAAATACACAATATTTCTAAATTAAAATGCATCAACTACCTGTACAATTTATACACATCTTTAAAATAATAACATTAATAATTACATGGTTTTGCTAAAGTGATTAACCCAGTTCAGTGATTGATTGTTACCTTGAATTCTCTTTTCTTTTTCAAGAACTCCTTCTGAAAGAATTGTAGTATTTTTCTGTGAATTTTGAGGATCGGGGTGTTGAAGATTTGAGTGACTAAACTGTGTGCACATCACATCTTTGTGAATGCCATTATTGGTGAGACCAATAACACTTTTTCTAGATACTTCTGAATGTAAAGTTTCTTTATCACTAACCTCTGAATTTACCAAAGACTTTCTTTGTGTAAGATTAGGTAAGCTAGGAGATGCTGCCTTCCTGAAAAAACTTTCTGACTTATTAACTGTCTCCATTGGAAAAGTAAGATGATCAGAGACAGGGACCATTTCTTGTAAAACATCTGAGTGAGCTCTTATTTTATTCATTAACTTGATGTCTTTTAATGTACCTTGACTGGTTGACTTAATGTGACTGTCTATGTTAGGTGAAGAAGGTGAACTGTTGCTTCTCCAAGGCTTAGCTACAAAGTTCTGTTCCTTCCCCTCCTTATCAAGTGTCAACACTCTATCGTTTAAACCATATCCTGATTTTGCCTCTAATTCTTTAGTTAGCTTTTTAACTACACCTTTTCCACCTTCATTTGTGTCATCACTAGGGACTAGAATTTTACCATATTCTTGGATTTTTGATCTTTTTGTTTTAAAATCTTCATGCATTCCATCAGACCATATGCAATTTGTTAGACTCTTAGGGTTTAAACTTTCTAACTGATCTCTTTCAAGTTTAACTGCCACTGGTGCTGGCTTTTCCTGATAAGCATCAACATCATTCAAAGGTGACACAACTTCCCTTATTCTTGTATCTGATGAGAAAGTAATATTATCAAGTTCAGGTCGGGGTTGTAGTTTTGGAGTAGCACTTCTTGAAGACTCACTTGATGCTGATTGAATGGCACTATTTAACACCTCTTGTGTTCCACAGATGACTTTATTCACAGCTTCAACCATAGATGGCATGCTTGCACTATGTGACATGTCAGTCCTCTCTTCACTGAACCCAAACTCATGTTTACTCCACTGAGTCTTAGGTGGTATTGGTCCATTTGTTGCCAGAGCTGGAAGGGGAAACCATTTAACTGGAAACATCTGTGAAAGAGGCCTTTTATCACAGCGTAGACTATGAGACCGCTGTATGTTCTTTCCTGTGCCAATCTCACAATCTAGCCCCAGTTCTGGTGGAGTGGAAGGAGTGGAATGTGAATTTGAAAGAAGCCAGTAATTCTCACAACAAAAACTTGTTCTTTTCTCTTCAATTTGCTGCCTAGTTCGTTTCACTGTGCCAGGAGTCCATGGAATGCTTTCCTTTTCATATGAAAACCTATCTTTTTGTGGCATTGTATTACCTGCTTCTGATTGGAGAATTCCACTTGTGGCTGACTGTTCTGGTGTTTTTTCAATTGGTCTGAAGAAAGAACTATCTTTGGAAAGTTTTTTTGGAGCAAAAGAAGAACTTGTGGAAGAATTCAAACCCAAGGAACTTTGTACAGGCCTAAAAAATAATTTCTCTTGCTGCTTTATTGCCTTACTAACTTGACTAGGTTTTGTAGTAAGAGAAAGACTATTTTCTGATTTAGAATTTTTTGCAGTCATTGAAGCTTGGTATTTAGAGTCAACTTTTTGTTTTCTAACAGTAGGATCAGATACAGAAGTTGACCCCTTGAATAATTCATTATATTGCCATTGGACTTCGTTAGCAGACACAGACCTGGGTCTTCCAAATGCCAGCCCTCCAACAATACTATTTGGTCCTAAAATATTTTCTCTGATTAAAGTAGGCAATTCACATTTAGAAAACCCTGGCTGGGGTTTGGGAATAGGCGGTTTGGTATGAAAAAGAACTGAATCATTTGAAATGTCACTAGTCGACTGAAAAGCAGACTCACATATTATATTATTTCCATCCACACAAAACACAGATTCAGTCTTACTGCCTGTTTCAAATTGAGTAGCCAAGTTGAGTACTAGTCCAGACTTATTGGTAAGGTCCATTTTGGAAGTCTTTTGGGTGTCACTAGAGGATAGTTGAGATTCCAATTCAGTGATTCGGTGTTGAATGGAAGATAGGTTAGCCATTTGAATAGTGTTTGCACAAGATCTTCGAGTTTCTTGAAAGTTTGTGACTGAATTACTGTTACTGTCTTCTAATGGCCAAGAATCATGACAAACTCCAGGATAGCAAGAAAGATCAGTGACAAACCTCTGCCTGTTTTCAAGTTTAATTTGATTTGTTTGATAATTCTTATCAGTTTCTAAAGAAGATAAAAAAGAGCACAATATAAATACAAGTGAATAAATTAAATTCATATAAAACATCAGTTATACGTCAAAACTATATAAAGGCAGAAAACAAATCATAAAATATTGATACCCAAGTAAAAAGTGATATAATAAAAAAAACTCAAAGATGGCATTGCTGAATTATTTTGTATTATAAAATGGTGGATATTTTATTTGTAACTTTGCAATAATGGATATGAAAACATTTTCTTTCACTGCTAGAAACTGTACAATAAACAGTAATTTTAAAATAAATAGTGAAGAAAAAATCATTTAATTACTCCAAATTTTGATCCAGAAAATTGTATCCAAATCTTCTGTTCTCATGAATGAATCTTCTAACCTTAGAAAAATAACTTTGAAGTCTTTCCAAAATTAAAAAACTTCAAGTTTCCTAAATAAAATGTTTTATGGTAAAAAAAAAATTAGTTTTCTGTTTGATCTAATTTTATCAGTCAAGACAATTTTGTACAGCTACTTTTCATTCATCTTTCTAATCCATCATGTTATATAATTCTTACTCTACAGAAAACTCAACATATGTACGTGAAAACCTTTTCTTTCACTGCTAAAAACTGTCCAATAAACAATAATTTAAAAATAATCAGTGAAAGAAATATCACTTAATTACTCCAATTTATTGATCCAGAAAATCGTATCCAAATCATTTGTATTCATGAATGAATCCTCTAACCTTAGAAAAATAATTTTGCAGTCTTTCCAAGTATAAAAAAATTCAAGTTTCCCAAATAAAATGAAGTGTTAGAGAATAAATGCCAATAAATTTGAGATTTTTTATTACCTGTTTCACATGGTAATAACTCTTGGGCCAAGGAGTCATTAGGGGACCATGACTTGGGTCGGAATGCTAAACCAGGATCATCAGGAGTAAGGTTAATATTTTCTGTAGACTTCATGAGATTGGAATTCATGCCTGTTTTGGATTGACCTGGTTGGTCTGGAGAGTTGAGGTTGGTCTCAGATTTAGACCGCCAGAGGCTGTTGTGTCTCTGCTTGCTATAAAATGAAGAATTTACAAATTTCTTCTATGTGGACTTATACAAAAGCTTAATAAAATTTCTAATAATTAGAAAAAAAATAGATTTTTTAAATTATTAAAATCATTCTTCACTTATACTGATATAGAAAGAAGAGGACCATTAATGAATCAACAGTTAATTTAAGTGCAGTTCTTTAAAATTTTCAATAGTTACTATTAACTACAGTAACCTATATAAAACTATTGATTAGCTTCACTGAGCAACCACTGTTTCACAAGTATGTCATTTACTATTATGTGTATGAAGGCTACTTCTATTGCTACCCCATTTTATACTGTAGTAATGGTACCTCTGCTGATTACTCATGTTAAAATATAAAGTTTTTCATTAATTTAAGCAAGGACCACTCACATTATGCTCTGTTATCAAAAACGAATACCTTTTTTACATATACGTATTTCTTTCCCAAATGTTGTAAATATAGCCAGATTACAGTTATCATATATTGAAATACTGTTTAAACAGTGAGAAATATCATGAAATTCATCATGGTGACTGTAAGAAGGCTGTGAAACATAAATATTCAAGACTTTCACACATAAGTTTGTGCACTCTCATGCTTCTATTACATTTTGTAGTGATGACCAATCATGACAGCATTGATTGAACCTTCAGCAGCTAGTTCTGAATCAATCATATCAGCAATCCTACATCGCCAAACCTTTACAAGAATGTCGAGATATGACAAAAATCTTTGAAACCCCGTCCATCCAAGACCACTGCATGCAGACATTTTCAATTTGTATTGTTCACTTGTCAATCAAATATTCTGCTCAGAATGGAGATTCTGAGGCCCATGCCTTTTTTGTGTATGATATTGCTCAAGAGAGAAGCGATATAAGACATTCAGATGAGTGTATCTTTTAGTTTTGAATGTACATATATGTATGGTACTTGTATCATTTCTAACTGAATGATTCTAACAGTCTGATCAACAAAGATAAAAACAGCTTCTATGTCACATATATTCAACACTGACTAACAGCATATACATACATAAATCATAACACTTCAAGAGCCTGTCAAACATTAGTGTATTCACATTGTTACAATCAGTCCCAAGATTGTAGGATCTTGTATAACGGGTTTGCATCTATACAGCATGTTTATAAATGCAGCGCATTTAGTACAATATGTTTAAGATATGAATGAGAATTCATATTATCAGGGCAATTGTAAGTATAATTGCAAATTTTACAATATACATATAATACTCATCTTATATAAGTAGCAGATTTATTACTTATCACAAATTTTGTTTACGACAAAAAATAATTTGTTAAACCAAAACAGAAAAATAATTTAATGACTATCTGACATAATACTGATGTTTACTGAAAGTTTGTCATTTCTAATCTTAAGGTCTTAATATTGTTTTACTTTTTCACCAAACAACACATATTTGTACTTATTTTGGCAAACTAATTTCAACCATCAGTAAGTTCTTGTTTTTACATATCCTTTATTGTGATATTGTTACTTGGCTTTGATGATAAAAAAGTTAGTTTTACAACATTACTGTAGCACAGTGTTTCAGTTCTAAATTGTGTGGCAATCATATTTCAGTATATAGGTCACTAGTTCAATGTAAATGATATGCACTAAGTTGACTATCAAAACATTACTAATCACAATTAAGGCATGTGTGTATTCACAACATACAAGTATTTTAGTAATAACCAGGGAAACAGACAATGAGTGTATTCATACTGTACAAGTATTTTAGTAATAACCAGGAAAACAGACAATGAGTGTATTCACACCATACAAGTATTTTAGTAATAACCAGGGAAACAGACAATGAGTGTATTCACACTGTACAAGTATTTTAGCAATAACCAAGGAAACAGACAATGAGAAACAATCAAGGACACAACCCACCTGGCATTCAGCATTCCTTGGTAAACCTCAAGCTGTTTCATGAAACCGGTATTGGGCTTGATACAATTGCGTTTATTCTTCACAAATAACATGGTTTTCTTCAAATCCCAATTGTAAGCCTTCATAGCATAGGCAATTACAACTGAGGCTGAACGACTAATTCCCATTTTACAGTGGACGAGCACCTTGGAGCCTTCTTCCCTACAGAAAGTAAGCATAATCAAAAAGAGTTTAATTTTATTTTCTTATCTACACAGAGTGAGTATCTGCTTGCTACAAGAAGAGCATGTTGAAATATTGTCTTATACAACTCATGGTTAAAGCTAATTACTAAAATTCCTCAACTATGCCTGCGGACATCATACACAGTGTTGTTTTTCTGTATATTTAACATTGCGAAAGGTATATAACAATGTTAAACTTTGATAAATCGTGCCTACATGCACATTTATTAAACATTTCATCCTGAAAGCTAAAATAATACACCTCCTTGGCATAATTAGTTTCGTTTATCTAATATCCATACTATATATTGATTTGATGATATAATGTTGCACAAACAGCTTCATTTCTAGACAAAAAAAAATGGTTATGTTTACCCAAAACCAGATGGATCTTAAAGATTCATGCTAACTCTCAATATTTTATTCACACAAAACCTTCTCCCACAATTTTAATATCAGATATTCAAAAATTAGTCATAATAAGTAAAAAACCAAGTTCATTAAGAAACTTCATCATTATACAACACTGAATTGAACTGTGCAAGAAAGTAGTAAGAACATTTTAAAAAACCAAGACTATATATCATGTAAGAATATTTATATTGACGTTATTATAAAAACACGTCGTTACGTGTGTTGATAAAAAATATTTACCTTTCCATGTGAAAGCACTTTAATAACACAATATTTTACAAAGGCCTGCAAATTTAAACTTCATAAAAGTTGTTTTGGTTTTAATAACAGATTTTACATAATTCAGCTATGCAGATTTCGAAAATAACATTCATTTTTTTTCTATTGCATAAGGATTTTTTACAAATTTGAACATTTTTTATTATTATGTTTGTTAACAAAAATACAAACAAACTGACGAAAAGGGAAGAACATTGATGTCAAACGAATGTGCATCCTCATTCATCCTGAATTTTTTTTTCTGAAATCTATGTCATTTAGTCTCAAAACTACATGTTGTGGTCTTTCTTTGATGTATTGCATATGGAGCATCTCATTTGCATGACCAACAGTAATCATCCATCATGCTGATGTTTCACCTTCCCTGATAACAATTCCCCATTTCCCCAATGTCTTAATGAAACCTTTCCCCTTGTTCTTCACTGAAGGCACCAAGGTTTTCAGGGAAATAGTCAATAAGTGAGTGTAAGAACTGAACTTTCAATCTCATATTACAATCCAACTCTTTGAATTTATCAAGCATGTTATTCACGATACTTTCATAATTTCGGTCCTTGTTGTTTCCCAAAAATCTGTCAATAACATCTTTAAAAGGCAATCCATGCTTCTTTTTCAACTTTCCTCATTGTTGTTTCGATCTATTCATCCAAAGTCAATTTTCTAATCTGAGGCCCAAAAAGAATCCCTTCTTTAAGTTTCGCTTCTGAAAAAGCTGGGAATTGCTCACAAGGATACTTGATACAGTTGCCATGGACTTTCTTTGAGTCAACCAAACTTTCATTTTCAATGTTTTTCAATCCTGGTATTAGGCTAACTCTGTGTGGCCATTACTTCTTTATCAAGTGCTGATTTTGTGCTTTGCTGTTCCATTCACACAAAAACATGGAAACCTTGTATAACCTGATTGTTGACCCAACAACATACAAAGGACTTTTAAGTCTCTACAAAGTAGCCAACCATATTCTTTGACCTTACTGAGAAGAAGTTCGAGATTTCCATAAGTTTCTTTCAAGTGAACTGAATGAGCAATAGGAACAGATGCATATATGTTACCATTGTGAAGAAGAACACCTTTTAGACTTCTTTTGGAGGAATCAATGAACAATTGCCACTCACTTGGTTCATAGACTGCAGCTTATAGCATTGGTATTAATTCAGAAATATTGTTGCAATAAACCAGTGAACCTTCTTGTGAAATGTATGGTATAAACTCTTTCTCACGATTTCTGTACTAATAAAATGATGTCCCTAGAGAAAGTAAGTTCTTAGCCTGAAGTCTGAACCCCAAAATCTCTGAAGAATCCTTTGGAAAGCCCAAATCTCTCACCAAATCATTAAGTTCGTCTTTTGTGAAAAGTTGTGGTTCACCAGACATTTCAGGTTGAAAACAATCCCTATCATCATTTCTATAGACATCAGAATCAGATGAAACTGTATCAAGAGTCTCCAGTGGAGTAGTTACAGGTACATCAGGTTCGTGAGCAACAGGTCTTGTAGCAGATTGAAGGTTTGGATAAGAAATTTTCTTTTTATTTTGAGTGTTGTAGCCTTGCACATTACATGAGCAAAATAGCAGTCATCTCTGTGGTTTCTAGTCTCACATCAGACTATTGGTATTCCAAAAGGTAATAACTTTTTCTTACCTTCAGTCCATTATCTCAACTCCTCGACTCAAAAGATACAAACTTTGTGCGGAGCCCATGATTTGTCTTGGTCCCATGGTTTTATTCCAAAATATGCATAATACACTTTTTTGATGAATTCTGTAATTTTTTTCCTTTGTTTCTTTACAACAAATTTACCACATATATAACAGAATATGTTTGAGTCATTTAAACAATCTCTTGTTCCCATAGCAACAAGTAAATATTATTGAAAAGAAAAAATAATGTCAAAGTGCACGCACAAACAAATACTATCCAAAATTACATATCATGTAGCCTGTTAAATGTTTATATACTAGCAATGTGTTTCTTGTTGGATCTAGAACAATTGATAAGAATCTCACATTGTGATTGGTCTAGAGATATCTATAGCCAGTAGTTGTCAATATTTTAAGAATAACAAAATGTGACCTGATTTCAATGAAAATGATTCACTTATGTAAAAGTACATATGACATTTTGTGAAAAATCTGTACATGATGGAGAAAAATGGATATCGTTTTCGGATTCAGCATACAGGAATTACCGTAAAATATGTAAAAATTTCAAGACAATAAAACCATCGCAGGCCTGTGTTATTTGTCTTTTCTAATTAGTGCAAGAAAAATAGCTCCTTTAGACTTCATGAACAATCTAAGTTGATATGAGTAGCACCTAAGTTAGTATTTAATACAAAATAAAATATCATATGAAGCTGATCCACTTACTAGTAAACGAAAGTTAAAACTTTTCTATAGGGAAACTACCATATTTCTATACTTAGATCTACAAGGAAATTACAAGATTTCCAAACTGATTTAGTCTTACTGTACTTTATTATGTTTCTTGATAAAACATTATAATTATCATCTTAGACATATTTCAGTATGAGCATCTTCATGTGATTTATTTTTGATACACTATATCGATAAACTTATATTTTAATGATGATATGTAACTGAGGAAAAAGCTTATAAATTAAATGTAACAATACATTTAGTTAGCAATAGTGCTTGATTGGAACTCTTATAAAACACTAGTTTAACTAGTAAATTATCTTCTAGAGCTTTACATATAACTCATAATAAAAGGTATTTAAATGTAAAGTTGGCATATTGATTCTTTTTCATTAAAGGGCATAATATTAATGTGTCTATATTAGATTTTAGAAGATTTCAAAAACACAGTTTCATTCTAGGAAAGAAATAGAAATGAAGATACGTTTGGGAGTACTGCAGCATAGTAAGGTAAACCAAATGTGTTATTAATACTTGGAAACAAAAATGAAAAAACTGACAATGAAATACTGCTGTTGAGCAAACTAACAAAAGAAGAAGAAAATTACTATTTTCTAATTAAGGTCAGCACCTGAAAAAAATTTCCAAAATAAGTAAAAAAAATCTAAAGCAACTTTGCAACCTACTTTGCTTTCCTAATATACTTGTAAGTGTCATCCCAGTACGGTAACAAGTTGGTGGAGTCATCATCATAAACCCTAATATTGTAATAATTGAACATGGCTGGAAAAAAGTTGTCTATCTCTCGGGTAACATTCAAAATGTGATTGATCCTAAAAATTGCAACAAAATAGCTATAAAAATCATACATTTAATGTGACAGAACATAATAACTTTCAAAATGACTGGTGAAGTATGTAAGTTATTTAGTTACAAACACTTATGTATTACTATGCTTTAAGATTTACATTTTAACATTAAAATGTTGAAAACAAGGATGTTCAAGAGTTTTAATCTTAGAGTTCAATTTCTTCATATTAATCAACAGATGTGAAACAATTTTTTTTTCAATATCAATAAATATTCTTTAATATAGAAGTTATTTTGGCTTAACATGGCTAATGTTTTTTTTTGGGATATGTTAAATTTATCAACAATATTATTGACAGAGAAGCTAGATTAATTGAAGATCCTAGTAAATAATTCTAAAAACAATTAATTGGAGAATACTATGACTTTCTATTCTCAGTATCATTCTTAAAAAATAAAAATTTGTAATTTACTCTTGTCAGTTAAATAAAAATTTGCTGTAAATGAAGACTACAGAATATACAAACCCTTTATCTTTTAATTCTTCTAAGTTGGAAGCATTCCATTCTGATCCTAGAAAGAGGTACTCAAAAATTTCTGTTGGAGCATCCATCTGTCCAAGAATGGTCAACATCTCTTGGTCCAAGTACCATTTGTACTCACTTAATTTCATATTCATTTCCTTTTCTAATCGTGTCCGAATCTGCAAAGGCAACCAGTCCATCATTTCTTAACAAATTAAATTAAATGTATTCTAATCACCATTTGATATTTATATTTTTTGCTTAGTCTTGCACTTGTTAACATCACATTTTACAGATCATGCAATAAGAAAAGAAACACAAATAAACTCACCTAAATATCTATACAAGAGGCAGTGTTACTCTTTAAGGAATTTTTATATTTTTAACCCTATCCAGACACGTCTTCCTATGGTAAGGGGTCAAAGGGCATGTCATCATGTTTGTTGACTTACATATAAACTTTTATCCAACTACTATTTTATGAATGTATGTTTGTGATGTCCAAATACAAAGTCTATAGTTTCTTGCCAATTAGAAACTCAAATAACCAATATTAACAAGCTAGAATATAAGACACAAACCTCCTATCTTTTCCATTTTCTGAGATATTATTATGTTTAGTAAATCAAACAATGTGGCCTAGCCCACCTCTTCCATTTTTGGAAATACTTGTTTAGACACACCTACTTTGCCCAATGACATGTGTGTAACCAATTAATAGCTCAGAATGTCTCCCAGATAAAGTAAGACATTATGGAGCTCAAAAACATCATATTCTTTTAGACCCAAATACAGCTTAGCTACTAAGCCTGATAAATTAGTGGAATTCTGTGGTACTAATATAGTAATTTTTTGTTATTTCAAAATGCATATATAAAACTTTAAAAAATTATTTTGTTTTACATCCTCCCTGTGCAAACTTTGACAAGGCTTAGTAAATTACGTCAAGCATAAAGCTACACAATGGGCTATCTGTGTTCTGCCCACCACGGGTATCAAAACCAGGATTCTAGCATTATAAATCTGCAGACATACCCCTGTGCCACTGGGTGCAGTTCCTAAGTAGAAGAGATAATTGTTTTCTATACTACATTATTTACTGTTCCAGGTTTTTAAGAAAAATAACTGAAATTTAAGAACTAATTTGTAAAATACTGTTCCTCTAGAACAAAGTAAAGACAAATCACTTTGTAAAGGCCAGTTTTATATTATTGGATACGGTAACATGAGTGCATGTGCACTGCATCATTGCAACTTCTGTAATGTTAGTCAGATACTGCTGAAAGGTCAATGAAATAAAAATAATAAATATTATATATATGTACAATGTTATGAGGTTTAAGCTATTTAGACTAAAGATTTGTGTTTTCGTGTTATAATTTGTAGTCATTCCAGAACAAAAAAGGCATAATTTACATCTATTTCCTAATTTTTTTATGGTAGTTACCAGGTCAAATCGACCAAACCCATACAGAGATTCAATAGTGTAAAATAACAGATAAAATATAAAGTTTTTTTCTAAAAAGAGATCATTGTTTTCTATACTACATTATTTACTGTTCCAGGTTTTTAAGAAAAATAACTGAAATTTAAGAACTAATTTGTAAAATACTGTTCCTCTAGAGTAATCTGGAGGTTATAAAGATTTCACAGGTGAAATTGACAATTTTCTGGTGCATAAAAGTCTTTTTAAATTTAAAATCAAAATTACTAGCACGTTGGATAGTCAATAATCAAAAATAAAAAATTCACAGCAAATAATTAATTTAAAAATCTTAAAACTTAATTCAAAAATCTGATATTTTGTTTACGAATGCCTTGTAATGTTTACCGATAATCTGCAAAATTTTGTGAAGATACGCATACATTTTAAAAAATTATACTATAACTGTTTTATGGTTACTTGGGGGATATGTATAGTAAAAGGATTAACCAGCTTAGAATTCAAACAAATTGAATTCTGTACTTACATATTTACTAGTGACTTCCTCTAGGTCTACAGACATCATCACTTCTTTTAATTTGGCACGAATCACTTTCTGTGTTTCTTCTCGCTCCGTTGATCTTATAGAAAATTTAGCAAATTAAATAATCTGTTTCAAACTTAATAAATAAATCAAAAAATATTATGTTCAACACTAATAGCCATAAAAAAAATCAAATTCATAATAATTCAGAAACAAATGTGAAATTCAACATTTTAATATAAAATATGTCTAAAATATTAATCATTGTTAACATGTCTAATAACACAGGCCTGTGATGGTTTTATTGTTTTGAAATTTTTACATGTTCTACAGTAATTCCTGTACACTGAATCGGAAAATGATATCCATTTTTCTCCATCACATACAGATTTTTCACAAAACGTCATAATGCAATACATGACAGAAAGACTACAACACATAGTTTTGAGATTAAAAGACATAGATTTCACAAAAAATCAGGATGACTGACGATGCATATTCGTTTGATATCCATGTTCTTTCTCTTTCTTCAGTTTGTTTGTATTTTTGTTAACAAACATAATAATCAAAAACGTTCATTGTGGTAAATGACATAATTTGATCTAAGTAAGTTTTTTTTCTTCTCAATTTGTATGTGATAGAAAAAAATTAATTTATTTTCCAAATCTGCACTGTTGAATTATGAAAAATCCATTATTAAAGCCAAAACAACTTTTATGAAGTTTAAATTCGCAGGCCTGTATAATCAATAGAAAACAATTTTGCTTTCTATATTTCATAAGAAAGGTGTGGTCTTCAAAAATTAAAAAGAAATTCTAAAAACAACAATACAAAGCAGGAAATTGACTGCTGTTTCATTTTTAGCTAAATTCACATTTAATAGATGTGTATGGTTGCTATTAGAAGGTTTCATACAATTTCTGGAATCCAGCAAACTTTTCAACAAATGCATGGAAAAAACCAAAGGTCAATTTCGAAGTTCAAACTTACGTGGATAAAAGAGAATCAGGAGAAGGGGCTCGCCTAGATACCAGATCATCCATAGCATTCCTAGTTTTAATAAAAAGCAGTATGACAGTAATTCAAAATAATTTAAAAAACTCTTACTGAAATATTATAAAATTTACAGTCCCTTAACTAATCTTTAAATTGTGTGTTAAGTACATTTTGTATATGATAATTACATGGTTAAAATGTTTTAGCTGACATTTTGAGAAGAATCCTTATCAAAAAGTAATTTTTTGAATCCTAAGTTTTAGAATTCTTTTTAACATAAGAGAGCAAGCCATGGACCTAAGTGCTACATATTTACTAGTATTTAGAATAAATTTTTAAGTCACAAAAAATCTAAAGTACATAAAATAATTTATGCTGAACATGTTATGAAATTATCAGATAGGCTGTTTAAAATATGCACACTGTACCTACAATTATATGCACCAAAATTCCAATACTTCCATCATTTTCTAATCTACTTTTAGCTGTCTACCTGATGCTTTTTTGCATGCTTGCTTTTCATGGTCATATAAAAGTTTATTGATGAGATCTATTTGGTAAGTAGCATCACTAAATTTTCTCTATTTGAGCAAAATTCATATATAATAAAAGTAAGTTCTATTCAATTCACAGCTCTAGCCTATTTTTGGCCAACATAAGAACAAAACCTTATATATGCCACAGTAAAACTGATTAGTTGTATGTTTTTTAATATTTCTGGTCACAGAATATATATATATATCTGGTTTTTTGAGAAGAAAGTTTCTAATATTTAACTTTCTTCAAGTCAATTTAGTGTATGAAGTAACCCGTAATTGATTACTGTTTTTAGAACTTACTAAACAAGACAAAATGTCAAAAGTTGATACCTAATATCAATCAACTATATTGAGTAGTGAGGTCTGAAAAAAGGTTAATAAATACTGTAAGTTTAATAAATAGGGCATGCCAAAAGCTGTATCTACAATACATCAACTATACTGAGTAGTGAGGCTTACTTTACTACTGTTTTTGAAGTTGTGTACTAGACAACATGTTAAAAGCTGGTATCTTTAATACCAGCAACATTGAGTAGTTAAGCCTGAAAATGTTTACTCCATTTTTACTATCCTAGGACACCAAGTATTAGTAAAATGGATTTAATAGTTTCAATAATACTTTTTCACTTGACAAAATATTGTGACTTTATACATAAAGCACCTAATCATACTAAATAAATATATATGACCTACAACTGATTGTTAAAATAATAAACATTAAAATGCTCAGTGGCTATAAAAATCCACTTTATGTTGTTGTACAAAATCTTTACTTACCATTCATTGAGACGTGACTGGTCAGACCCAATACTGTTTTCATAGTAGATGACCCACTGATGAGACCCACCACACATGTAACTGTTATTATTTCGGGCCTTGGCACTTGCTTTATGGAGTGTCTGAAGAGCCGACCTGTTATAATTTAAATACACAGTGGTAGAAAGGTATACATATAACATTATTCAAGCATATGATTTTGCCCTATTCTATTGAACATTGTGTATTAAGTTTTCATAGATTTCTCTTTTTTGGATTTGCAAATGTGTCCAGATAGTTTAATTATTATTTGTTTTGGATACTTATGCAAAGCTCCAAAGTGGGAAGTGTGATCTTGAGACAACAGGACAAGAGCCATGGATCCTCAGTCCAGCATGCTAACCACTATGTATGCAATGCCAAGCCCAACAATTTAATTAAGAAAAACAAATTATTTAATTTAAAAATCTCACTGGCATGTTGATTAATAAATTCAATAGAAAAAGTTGTTGTGAGTTTGCTATCTTTCAGATACCAAAAACTCAGTAACAGTTACAATTCTACATGTATGTTAATTAGGCTACCCCAAGTTGTGAAATGTATATATGCACAAGGTGCTAAGCCTATCTCATAAAACCAACTAACAAACAAAATTATTAGTTATACAAACACACTAACCTGAATGTTTGCCAACTATAAATCTTCTAATGTTTAAGATATTTTTATTCTAAAGTCTTGAAAAACTATGAAATCTGAAGCTTGCTTATGTTTTTGAGATATTTTTCCAGTGAACTTGATTAAGCATTACTTGATATGAAGCTAGAGGTTGTTTTGATTGTTCTAGCAATGTTGACCACTAAAAGTGAATCTAATACATTGGTCACTATATTATTTTATCACACCTATATATATTGGTCAAACTTTTCACAGATGATTATAGGTATGAATAAATGAATATTTACCTAAAAAACAGCATAACATTTTTTAACTGAGAATTAATTTTATTACATAACAAATTGAAAGGCTACAACTTTAACAATATCATTCAATAGAATAAAAAAGTTGTATTTCTACACAATAAACTGAAATGTCACTGTTCAAAAATATCGGCCAACTTATTAACCCATTTAAAAACTTCTATACTTATTTATAAATTGAAAAGCAACCAATTAATAATATCATCCAACTTATTAAAAACTGTTATATTCCTAGATAATAAAATGAAATTCCACTGTTTCATGATATCACCAAACTCCTTAAAAAAGTTGCATTATTTTTTGTAAATTTCATACTAAGACAGTTCTGAGATAGTTCCAGTGAGTTATGTAACTTTTTCATTGCACTGTTAAAGTGCTTCTGAAATAACATAACCAAATGTGCACATTTTTAGTCAAGACTACAAGTCTATCATACACAAAATATCAGATGCGTTACTAAAGATTTTGTACAGACAATAAGTCTGTGAAGTGCCAAATTCAGTCTGACTCAGACTCTGTCAAGTCAGTATGCAAGGTGATGCTCATTTGAAAAATAAAAATAATCTTGTCCATTATACAGTTTGCATGTTGCATTTTCATAGTCTCTACAAGCTCACAAATGCATGTATCCCTGGAATCTTTTTGATTCTATTATGAAATATCATGAAATCAGCAATGTAGGGTAACATGAAACACTGATATCGAATGAATGCTACCACGATGAACGGCACTCTGTACAAGGTTGGGACATGCAGATTTTGACCCCCACCCATGCACACACATTTGAGTGGCTAGAATAACTAGACTTTTCATAAACAACATAAATAGCATAACATTCTTGTAGAAAGATTAGTAACTTTTGGAAAGTCTAGTAACTAGTAGTCTGAATGAATAATTAGATGATGTTTTTTTAATCTTTTTAGTTACTATCTTGTCTTACCTTATATCTTGACTGCTATTCTGCTTCCACCGTAAATGATTTTCTAAAAGGACTCTATGATATGATAGTAGAAAAAATTTTAACTTGGGTCTTCTTGTTACAAAGGTATCTGTGCTATCCACGCATCCAGATTTTGCTGGCTTTTACACTATTCTGGCTGAGTACATTATCAGTTAGTTACAATAGATGGCTTTTCTGTATTTTAATTGTGAATGGTTCATATTTTACTGTTTCAGTGCTGTTCCACTAATTATATGATAATCTTCTCTGACAAGATGGGCTGGTTATTGCAGCAAAATCACTATAACAGAATTTAATATGTTTACCATGCTCCCAAATTCTCACTTTGTTGTTTCCTTCATTTTGCAGTGTTCTCAAGTCCGCATTTACATAGACTGTTATATGTTCATATATATATAGTTTTGAGCTTTTCAAAAAAATGTTCCAATTTCATATTGACAGAAAATATTTTGAATTTTTTCTGATACCTCTGACATTGGAAACAGGACCACATGTTTGTAATTTTCTTTGTACTTATTCTTGGTATTTATTTTTTTATTTATTTCATATCGGATGTTTAGGACATCCACTGTCAAACAGAGTTGTACCAATGTGTTTTCTCTTCCTTCTTAGCATCTTCTCTATTACTTTTTGAGGCAAAGCAGTTTTGTGATGGCTGTTTGCTGAGGTGATGTGACTTAAACCAAAAATATTTACCTTTAAACTTCTGCAGTGTAATAGTTGTGACTTTGTCATTTTTTTACATTTACACTGTAAATTGTATTGTTAGATACTGCCTGTTCAGGTAATTCCCAAAATCTGTAATACTGTCTGTAATATTTTATGGCTAAATTATGAAAGTGTCAACAAATCTAAAATAAATAAAAAACCTCAGAGTACCTGTTTAAGGATGTTATAAGACTCAATGTAGATGTTACCAAGCATTTGTAATAGAGACAATTCCACAGCTACGTCATCATGTTATTGCCAATAGTATTTTTCCTCATGTTGGGAGTAAGTATTGTTGAAACAGAAAGATGTGAGTTTTGATATTAAGAAAATTGTCAGTTGAATAATTCTTTCAGAGATCTGCCATTTTCAAGAGGTTGACTACTGTATCTGTAGTGTTTCAATGGTTGTTATATTAATGAACAGTTTGGACATAACACATTAATACTAATAATTATATCATGTAAGGTTGTTTTTATAATATCTACAGAGTGGACAGAATTCTTAACACGTGAGAATATTTTCCAGGCCAAGGGTGATATTATATTGACAATGCATCTGCCTAAAGGAGATGGCATAGTAAATATTTAGTTAGTGCAATATAGAAGGTAGCTCTGTTTGTGAATTTTTGGTAGACTGTACATATGTGGGGTGATGATGTTGTGTAATTTTAGTTGTTGTATCATTTCTATTCCAAGTTTTTTAATGTTCCTTTAGAAACTGGTTAATTCTTCCTCTGTGTAACTTGATGGTAGTTACAGGAAGGTCAAGACAGAATCCTGGTTCCTGCTACCATATACAGTTCTTATTAGGATTTCTCTGAAAACAGCAGTTATTAACCATGACTGTGACTAAATCCCAAAATAAACATCATTATAAGTTTTGATATTCCAAATTATGTGCTGTAATTTTTCTTACCATGTACTGTACCTACTCATAGAAAGTTAATACAGTGTAGAAACTATATGATGGACACCAGAAATGAAATCCTGAGATATGTAGATTTCTTATTCAGAGTAGAAACTATATGGTGTACACCAGCATCATAAATATTGGGGTATGTAGATTACTTATTCAGAAGTATTACAAGGATAATGCTTAAAAGCTGGACAAACCAAGTCAGAATTAACACAGGGAACATACAAAACAAATGAAGAAATAAACCCTAATAACCACAGAAATAAAAAAAATTAAAGTAACAAATAAAAATCACAATAGAAAAGTCCTCATGGCTTATGAACATTTTTTCTCAATTAAACAAAGCTGACAATTAACACAGCACGTTCTCCTAATAAACATCTGAAACGAGAAAATTCCTTAAATTGTAGCCCAAATCAATGTGGAGTAGCTTACTGACAGTGTGCTCTTATCTGTCTGGGTATTAAGGTCAAGATTATTGTGGCATCATAAATTCCTTATTTATGACATGCAAAATAAAATATAAAAATCAAAATAACACACTAAATTCACATTACTTATAAAATGCATAATGTTTCTACAATTTCTGATGATTTATGGTTAGAAAATGAGAGATTTTTATATGGCAATGTTAGGGTGTGACTCATCCAGGAGTGCACAAAATGTGATGGCAGAATTCCTGCTAATACGTTTTCTACAATATTCTTAAAATACAAAGTAATCTTTGTTTCATGTGACCCATAAATTCTTTTAAAATGAACAAATTTAATGTTCATTTTTTAACCTCTACAATTGTGATCCTAATAATGGTAATCATAACTTTCAAGCAGTTTTTTTTACACATAGTATGACTAACAGTTACTTCCCTACCTAGGAATCTGAAATACATACCATAGTTGCCAGTGTATAAGATGACCCTAGATTTTTTGAGCAAGTTAAGTGTATTTCTTTTAGGTTCAGTGTATAGGTCAACCTCTATTATCATGTAAGTCTAAGATGTTACTTTCGTAAAGAAATTCTTATAAATTATTTTTAAACTGCGCTCTGGGGTAATCAATACAGTCACAAGTGTTTTTTTATGCTCTTCAAATGCTACAGACAGTTCAATGCAGCATAACTTAGTGACAAACATGTACTAAACAAGTTTACAAAGTTTTCATCACAGTTGATCTTTTTTTTCTATCATACAAAATACTAAACCTTAAGCTATAGTGATCAACTATAATAACATGTTTACAAGATTAGTGTATGTTACAGGAACTAACTATTTTTGATATAATATCAGCAATATTTTAGTATGACAGATGAGATAAATACATTTCAAATAAAAAATGTCTTCATTAATTGTAACTAGCATCTGAGATAAATAACTTCTAGTTATAAAGAATCGAGACAAATGATACAATTACAAATATGTTAATCTAATGCAGTGAGTGGCATGATGTCAATGCACTTCCTCAAAAAATGCAAAGTGGGAACTTAATAATTATCTACATACTAATGCTTTTTTTTACTGATTTTAAAGAGAAAATAAGATCACAGTAAAACAAAACTTCAGCTATATGAAGTACTTCTTCTCAGGTTTAGGGGGC